GGTTTCATGGAGTAGGACCTAACCACTGTGTATCATCAAAAATGAGCAAAGATGAAAGCTAGAAAAAGCATCACATTCCAGGCATGAAAAATACATCATGTCTATCCACTGCTAACATCATATAGTCTGTCTGCTTTGGCCTTTCTAGTCATAACCTCCACAGAGTGGAGCTGTTGTGAATGTGGTTTACTGTTTATATTATGTGTGTGTTTCTTCTGCAGAAAACTCTTACATTTGTAGATGAGGATCAAAATTAGCACAAGCAGCAGCAGCACCACACCTACAATGACCAGCACGGTAATGATGAACTGAGAGTCACCTGCAAAATAAACCACAAAAATAAATATCCAGACCTGTTTAAAACACATTAAACACGGGTCATTATCATCCACATCTATCTGTGTTGAGGAATTTAAAAGACATTTACAGTTTTTAAAATATTCTGCTCTTGCTCTTCTGCAGCAGAAGGTTTAAGACAGGAGTGTTTCCAGGCTCTTGAAACATTGGGGGCTTTGCACTGCTCAGAAATCTTTCATGTTTTCGGGGGGGACGGTTGAAAGCAATCCCAGTTGACATTGGGGCGAAAGGCGGGGTACACCCTGGACAGGTCACCAGTCATATAAATGCATTTATTAAGGATTTAATAATTGCTACAGACAATAATTAACTCTGAGAATGTTAATTAGGGAGGGCCTGGGGGTCCTCCCCATGGAAAATTTGTGCTTTAAACACATTTTCTGCACCAACTTAATGAAGAAAGGTCTTTATTTATATAGGCTGAAACAAAACACAAAATTCAGGCGACAATTCAAAATAAAAAAATATAGTATAATTGAATGCAGTAAAGCTCTGAGGCATACTGTATTAACAGTTCTCATTTAATTTAATCCCTGCTGAGTTTAAATACATGCAAGCATGCCAGAAGTAGTAAAGTGTTTTTAAATGTGCATGTGGCACATTTTCACCTTGATGATAAATTAGCTTAATTAATTTGAATTCAGTTAGAAATAAAATCTACCTGCCCCTCTGCTGTACATAAACCTGCGCTATTACTCTGCTGATATGGTCGTAGGTTACCCCCTTTAGACCATGTGACCGAATCTGAAAACACTGTGATCAGACAGAAATCTCACTACACATCTACACAGAGGTTAACTTCAGCACCTCTGATAAAGTGCAGTTCACAGCTGCTTAAGTTAGAAGCATCCTGGAGCAGAAAGACAATCAAACAGAGCAAAGTGAGCAAGGGGGACAGAGACAGGAAAGAGAGGGACAGGTGTCCGTGTTGAGGTCAGTTGTGTCATGTTAGTCTTTGCTACTTTGCAGCGACCAATTGTGTAGCAAATACATTGATTAGACACAGACTGACATCTATATTTAAAGGGACCTTTCAGTTGTCGCGGAAAAGCCCTCAGGCTGTGAGAAATGCTCTCTCTCTCTCTCTCTCTCTCTCTCTCTCTCTCTCTCTCTCTCTCGTACACATTGCGAGTAGCCTCCGTTCTTTGAAGACCTGACCTGAGACAGGCTGTGTCATGAGGATTACTGCCTATTAATATGGAAAATATTTTTATTGCTGTTGTTGAGTTACATTCGGGGCTACAGTCAAAACATCCGGGGCTAAAGCCCTGGAAAAATGACCTGGCAACACAGATGGTTTAAGATATCAAACATGTTGTCTTACCTGGTCTCTCTGCAGACACAGTAGTTGACTGGGATGAAGAAGCAGGAGTTGTGGTTGATGTTAGTGATGCTGAAAAAAATAAATAAAAACATTGTAATTTGGTAAGAAATTAGACAGAAGCTCCCTCAGAGCAAACTTAGAGTTTTGTTTATTTATTTACTTTATTTTAACGTGAACTACTCGCAATGAAACATTTACCAGTCAGTTAAATTAGAAGAAGTTAGAGTCTACACAAGAATATTTTTTGGGATGGGATTGTTTATGTATTTTATTAGAGTTTTCCTGCGGGAGGAGCTCAGAGTTTACTTATTTTATTAAATTATTAGGGCTGGGCAAGTTAATGCGTTGTTATTGCGTAGATTAATCGCGATTAAAATTTTTAGCACTCTAAATGACCTTTTAACTAGCTCTGGGACACTACTACTTTATTTTTATATAAAAACTGGACAAAACTGGACATTGCTTGGAGAAATGAAAGCAAGGAAGTTGAACCACCTGGTGAGTTCAGAAAGTATTTGTCTGTTACATTAATCCAGCTGAAGTACTGTGCTGTTAACAATTTAGCATAGCATAGACCTGATTGAACTGAACTCCATTCAGAAAAAAAAAATATTAAAGTTGTTGTCCTGCTGACTTTGCTGACAGACCTCACAAAGCATGAATTCTTATGTCTAACAAATCTGCATCATATTGTAATTATTTCGGCATCAGTTTGATCTGTTTATTGCAATAAATCACACCAAAATGTTTACCTTGGGTTACAGCTGGAGTAATCGCAGGTTGTATTTATTCGCATTATCGCGTTGTGTGTGTGTGTGTGTGTGTAGTCCAGCAATAAAACCACTGGGAGGAAAGCGTCCCAAGGATTAAATTTGCGTTTGGTCTGAATGTACAGTAAGTGTCTGGGTCCTAAACCCAAGAGTAGTAAATTCCTGGAGTTGTTGTTGGTTCAACCAAGGAAGAGGGCCAAAGCCCATCCCGACAACACTGGTCAACTGCACGCCCTCATTCTGAAAGAGCCGGCAGGCGGAAACAGCGGTAACCCAACACCTGCCAAAGAGGGCCCCGTCAAATAGAGGAGACAATGGATCCCAGGCTGAGCGCTTGCCTGCTCACCAGGGGAGCCACGCCCCCCACCCCAGGCCAGGCAAGGCGGACATCCACAGATCATGGCTTAATTCATTAATCATTTATTCAGTCATTACTATGACTCACTTCTGCCATCCATCAGTAACCCTCCTACACTCTGAACCAGAGTCAGATTACAGCTACACAATAAAATAACATCACTCACCTACAGTCATCACCAGTTTGTGGAAGAATTTGTTGCTGCCTGTTTTGTCAGTGCTTTTTACTCCACACCAGTACGTCCCAGTGTCGTCTGTTGTTACTTCTCTCACTGTTATGGTGACATTTCTCTTGTTTTTGTCCTCCTTCATGGAAAACTTCCCAGTGTTCTTGTTGCGCTGTGCGGTGCTTACTAGAGTTTCACATATAGATGGATCTTCTCCCTTACAGATGATTTTGTTTATTGGAGCACCATTTGGGTATCGACACCAGTATGTCAGATTCTGGCCAACAGTTAGAAACTTTGTGACTTTAGTAATAGTAGCTGTAGACAGACAGACAACATTGTCTATCAATGACTGTACAACATATTTCAGAGACACCTTAATTATCTGTGTGAGTAAATCAAAGCTCAAGTGTCAGATGTGCTCACCTTCAACCTCCAGCTGTATCTTTGTGAGAGCAGCTCTGTAACTTCCTTCATGTGTTTCCACTCCACACCGGTAGACACCAGCATCATGTGAGGACACGTTACTGATGGACACGCTGAAGCTACTGTTGGTTTCTGTGAGAGTGAATGTCCCCTTTGACTTCAGACAGGATTTTGTTGATAAAATATCCTCACAGATGAAACCGTTGTCTTTGCAGAAGAACTTGTATTTGTTTCCTGTGTAATCACATGTGATGGTGGTTTTAGCTGTTCTGTACGCAGTTTGAATAAATTGTTTCTGGCAGCCGTCTGTCTCTGCAAAAAAGAAAGGTACAACGCGTCACGTTTTAGATGGTCTAACACTGTGATAATGTTCTAACACATGATGTAAATGCACATCACCACACATACAGTAAAGTGTGAATCATGTTACATCTGCTTTTAATGGAATTTGTTCTTTTTGGCAATTTTATTTCCATTTTGGTTTTAATGAGTAGATGATGACTTAAATATAAAGTGACTGTACTGATTGTGTAAGTCCAGTCAAAATACTTTCATATTATAATTGGAATAATGGCACCAAACTTGACATGTATGAAAGCTGAAGTCAAGCTGTTATCAACAATGTATTAATTGATATGTGACTCTACACATAAAAACAAACAGAATATGTTTCTGAAATGGCATTAAATTCATTAGATTTGTAAGTGTCTCTTACCAACGCCCAATTTCATTTCCTCTGTGTCCTGGGATGAGTACGATCGTTGGTGAAATTTACACTGATAGTCCCCAAAGTCCTCATGTTGAAGTTGTTTGATGGCCACTCTGAGCTTTTTGTTTCTTGTATCATGGTACAGGGAAACTCTGCCTTTGTTTTCCCACACATTCTTCCCAAAGCTTCGTATGGTTTTTTTGGGAGTAACTACATCAATACTTTGATATTTTACATTTGGTTTTGGATATTTGCAGGTGAATTCAACCCATCCTGATGCACATCCCTTCACTTTAGACAAGGCCTCAGAACCTGTAGATCAAAAACAAAGGTTCACATCATGTTAGACACTGAAACGATGTGACAGATCATCTGATTTAGTTCCCTATTAATGCAACATACACTATCTGTTGTAAACATATTTTTAGCATCTGTCAGCAGACAGCACTTTGAATCAGTGGATCAGAGACTTTCAGTGCTCAGCGGTCTCCAATATCTGCCCAGCTCTATATCCTGAAGTTATATCTTATGAAAGCTAAAAACTGTGCCCCAATATTTTGTCTTTCCCTTTTTTCTTCCTTCTTTAAGTGTTAATCACATCTCTTCCCATTTTATACATTACTTCATTTCCTGTTAAGTCCCTAACACACTATGAAATATTAAATGTCAGAAAGAAAGGTCAATGTAACAGTTTTAACATACTGTATAAAAGCTACAAACTGTGAATGAGTGCAACCTCATCATTATTCATGATCTGGTTTTAATCAAAGTAAATTGTGATTGGGAGGGAAACAAACCAAAAACACAAAATGTATTAAAAGAACTTTATAAAATGAAATATATGACCAGCAGTAATCAATAATTATACAGCTTACTTTTAATGCTTGTCATCCACCAGTAACCCTCCTACACTCTGGACCAGGGTCAGGTTACATCTACACAATAAACTAATGTAAACACTCACCTACAGTCATCAC